TACAATTCTTATAAATAAAAACAAATCTGGAAGCATCACATTACCAGATTTCAGGTTATACTGTAAGTCTATAGTGGGATGATCACTTACGGTCAAGAGTTCAAGACCATCATGAGAAAAATAGCATAGTGATTTCTACATCAAATAAAAAAATGAGCTGAGCATGATGGCATGCACCTGTAGTTCTAGCTACTTAGGAGGCTGAGGTAAGAGGATTGCTTGATCCCAGGAGTTCAAGACTGAACCACTGCATTCCAGACTTGGTGACTACATTAATACTCTGCTTCTATAAAATTAAATAAGAACAAAAAAAAGTGTCAGTATTACCCAAAGTGATCTTCAGATTCAATATAAGCCCTAACAAACTCTAATTCCATATTTTTTACAGAATTAGAAAAATTCTCCTAGAATTCATATGATATCTCAAGGGACTTTGAATAGCCCAAACACTTTGAGACAGGGTCTCACTCTGTTGCCCTGGTTAGAGTGCTGTAGCATCATAGCTTACAGCAACCTCAAACTCCTGGGCTAAGCGATTCTCTCGCCTCAGTCTCCTGATTAGCTGGGACTACAGGCACCTGCCACAACACCCCCAGCTATTTTTTTTTTTTTTTTAAGAGACAGGGTTTTGCTTTTGTTCGTGCTGGTCTTGAACGCCTGAGCTCAAGCAATCCACTAGCCTCGGCCTTCCAGAGTGTGAGCCATTGCACCAGGCCTCCATAACAATTTTTAACAAAGAAGAAAGCTGAAGTGCTCAGCCTTCTTGCTTTTAAGACATATTACAAAGCTACAGTAATCAAAAATATGATACTGGCATAAAGACAAATAGATTGTAAAATAGAACAGAGAGCCTAGAAATAAACTCTTGGCATATATGGTCCAATGATTTTTTGAGATGGTGCTGAAACTACTTGATAGAGAATAGTCTTTCACCAAATGGTGATGGGATACACACATGCAAAAGTATGACGTTAAACCATTATCTTACCCTATATATGAAAATTAACTTAAATGGATTGAGGAGCTAACATAAAAACAAAAACTATAAAACTCCTAAGAGGAAACAGGAAAAACTTCATGAAATTGGACTTGGCAATGATTTCTTGGATATGCCACCCAAAGCACAGGCAACAAAAGCAAAGATAGACAAATGAGAGTACATCAAACTTAAAAACATTTGCACATCGAAGGATACAATCAACAGAGTGAAAGGGCAACCTATGGAAAGGAAGAAGTACTTATAAATCATTTATCTGATAAGGGTTTTGCTATGGTTTGAATATTCCCTCCCAAACTCATGTTGAAATTTAATTGCCATTGTAACAGTGTTTAGAGTGGACTTTAAGAGGTGATTAGGTCATGAGAGCTCTGCCTTCATGAATGCATAAGTGGAATTATCACAGGAGTGTAGCAGTAGCCTCTTTATAAAAAGGATGAATTTGGCCTGATTTCCTCTTTCTGTCTCAGATGCTGGCTTCCACCTTATCCCTTCTACAATGTGATGGTCTTTGCCAGATGCTGACACCATACACTTGGACTTTCCAGCCTCTAGAACTGTGAGTCAAGTAAACTTTTGTTCTTTTATAAATTACTGGATCCTGGGCATTCTGTTATAATAGGAGAGAATGAACCACAATGGAATTAATATCCAGAATATATAAAGACCTAAAACTAAACAATAAAAAAGTCAAATATCTCAATTAAGAAATGAACAGAGGACCTGAATATACATTTCTCCCAAGATGATATATAAATGGCCAACAAACATATAAAAAAGATACTCTACTAATCGCTTAATAATCAGAGATACACAAATCAAGACCACAATGAAATTATCACCTCACACCCATTAGGACAGCTGCTTTTTTTTGAGACAGAGCCTCAAGCTATCCCCCTGGGTAGAGTGCCATGGCATTACAGCTCATAGCAACCTCCAACTCCTGGGCTCAAGCGAGTCTCCTGCCTCAGCCTTCCAAGTAGCTGGGACTACAGGCGCCCACCACAACGCCCGGCCACCTTTTGGTTGCAGCCATCATTGTTGTTTGGCGGCCCGGGCTGGGGATTCGAACCCGCCACCTTAGGTGTATGTGGCTGGCGCCTTAGCCGCTTGAGCCTCAAGCGCCCAGCCAGGACAGCTGCTTTCAAAATAACATAAAATAACAAGTGTTGGTGAGGATGTGGAGAAACTAGAACCCTTGTGCACTGTCACTGAGATTGTAAAATGGAACAATTGCTATGGTGAAAAGTATGAAGGTTTCCCCCCCAATTAAAAAGAACTACCATATGATCCAGGAATCCTACTTCTCAGACTATATATTTTAAAAAAAGAAAGCAGAGGCTTGAAGATTTTGCACACTCATGTGCACAGGAGCATTATTCACAATAGTCAAAGAGGTGAAAGCAGCTCAAAATGTCCATCAGTGGATGAATGGATGAACAAAATGTGGCATACACATACTTAGCACGATGTAGGAGCTCAAAAAGAGATTTTATTTCCAAGATATTCAAATCCTATCTTGGCTCTAGATGAAAACTTTAAAACCCAATTTATAAATCAATCTTTTGACTATATAGACCAGTGGTTCTCAACCTTCCTGATGCCACTCTGTATTTTCATTGTTAAAAAGGGGTTGTGCCTTTCGGCCGGAGACGCCATCTTTCAGTAATTCATCAAAATGACAAACACAAAGGGAAAAAGAAGAGGCACTCGATACATGTTCTCTAGGCCTTTTAGAAAACATGGAGCTGTTCCTTTGGCCACATACATGCGAATCTACAAGAAAGGTGATATTGTAGACATCAAGGGAATGGATACTGTTCAAAAAGGCATGCCACACAAATGTTACCGTTGCAAAACTGGAAGAGCCTACAATGTTACCCAGCATGCTGTTGGCATTGTTGTAAACAAACAAGGGCAAGATTTTTGCCAAGAGGATTAATGTTTGTATTGAGCATATTAAGCACTCTAAGAGCTGAGATAGCTTCCTGAAACGTGTGAAGGAAAATGATCAGAAAAAGGAGGAAGCCAAAGAGAAAGGTACCTGGGTTCAACTGAAGCGCCAGCCTGCTCCACCCAAAGAAGCCCACTTTGTGAGACCCAACGGAAAGGAGCCTGAGCTCCTGGAACCCATTCCCTATGAATTCATGGCATAATAAGCATATAACATAGCACACAGGAGTACCAGTGGACCCATGCTTTTAGCTGCAAGAACCTATTTACCCTCCATGAGCTCATGGCATAATAAGTGTACAGCATAGCACACAGGATGACCAATTAGACCCCATGTAACAGTGATACAAGGTGCTGGAACCTATTTCCCATGAATTCAAAAGTCAGTGTTTTGGCACATTCAATGGCAAGATGCCTCCCTGAGCTACTGGAGCCTCTTCCCTATGAATTCATGGGATGGTAGTTAAAAATAATAGCCTAAAAATGTGTGTTGTTCGTTCACTACAAATGTGGTTTGTTTTTTTTTTTTGCCACAAAGAATTATTAAACCAAATTTTAATGTATCCTAAAAATAAAATAAAATAAAATAAAAAGGGGTTGCGACCCACAGGTTGAGAACCACTGATACCGACTTTTATAAGTTCCTGGAAGAACCAAGGAAGGTATTATTTATAAAGTTCTCAATAACTTGGATGAGACTGAGCCTTCTTCAAATTAAACTATGGTATTTGGAGGATTTCAAAAGCTCTAAGTAGAGTCAATAATTTACAAGTAAAAGAATAGAGTGCCTTATGAAATCTGACAATAGATTTACAATGTTCTTTTAAGGACCACTTTCATCTTCATAATCTAAGAACACTCACATTTGACATTATTTGTCAAATTAATTTTAAATTTCATTTCATCCCTCACTGCTTCTCTGTAAAACCACCACCCCTCCCCGTGAACAGATTTTGCCAAACTAAAAGTCTTTTTTTCTTATTATACTGTGTATTCCATTGCCACTTATTCATTTGCAATACAAAGTCAACTTGTTTAGTAAGAACTGTATTTGCCATTCAAATTGGTATGACACTCATTACACTGTGGAATCCTAAGCAGTATTTTCTAAGAGAAAGAGAGAGGGAGAGACACAAGACAAAGAGGAAGAGTAAAGCAGCCACTTGGAAACTAGTTTCTACTACTTAAGGAAATGTAATCCCATTTTGAGAGTGTAAGTGGTTTAGAAGCATGGTGGAAAAACGTTTTCCAGAACAGTAAATTATGGCTTTGGTGACAACATACCTTCTATACCTGCATTGTTCAATACGATGGCCATTAGCCATACACGTGATTATCTAAATTTATGAGTTAAAATAAAGCATTCAGTCCCTGCACCATACTAGCCACATGCCAAGTACTCAATAGTGACGTGTGGCTAGCAGCTGTACTGTTGAACAATGCAGGCATAGAACATTTTCATCATTGCAGGGAGTTCTATTAGGAAGCATGAGACTGTATGTTCCTACCCATAATGGCTTCTAATGGGTGGCAGAAGCATTAGGATCACCAAAAGAAACACACAAGTGGGAAAACAGCCATATTGTCAATGTGAAAGATTACCCACTGTATTCTTCTTGGGAACAAATTTCTTTCTTTTTTGAGACAGAGCCTCAAGCTGTCCCCCTGGGTAGAATGCCATGGCATCACAGCTCACAGCAACCTCCAACTCCTGGGCTCAAGTGAGTCTCCCGCCTTAGCCTCCCAAGTAGCTGGGATTACAGGCGCCTGCCACAACGCCCGGCTATTTTTTGGTTGCAGCCGTCATTGTTGTTTAGTGCGCCCCAGCTGGATTTGAACCCGCCACCTTAGGTGTATGTGGCTGGTGCCTTAGCCACTTGAGCCACAGGCGCCGAGCTGGGAACAAATTTCTTAAGCATGATCCCTGCCCTACCACCCCTTTACTGAGTTATAGATTAAAAGCTTTTATTACAAATTTTTCTCAAGTTAACTGAGGAAGAAACTGCCCTTATTCTTTGTTGAGTGATCTGGGCATTGCATGTATGCTTACAGTTTGGTCTCATCAGCCTCTTTCTGCATGATTTCAAGAATCATGCGACATGCTTCAGAGGTTCCCTCAGGGGTGGCATGGATGGTAACAGGCTTCTCTGCGGCCCCAGAGTTCTCCTTTCTGTGGATATCTACCCTGCAAAAAAAGAATCAGGAGCCATAAGTACCATGTCATCTGGGACAGGACCCTAGTCCCAAGAAAGCATCATGCCAGCCAACGTACAGGGAAAACAGAGACAGACAAGGAAGTGTCATTAGCATGTCTGCAACCAACGCCATTCTCCAAGAAAAAGGCAAGTGGTGTAAGGGGTCCGTGTCAAACTGTAATCCTATGCAACTCTGTTTAGAAGGGAACAGGTCTTATAGGAGTGCTGTGGGACAAAGGCTCTAAGCGAACTTGGTAATGAAGCCATTTTGGTAAATGAAGTATTTTGTGTAGCCTTTCAAATGACTGTAGAAGTGAAGAGTAAAGTGAGAAGGATAAATACTGCACGTTGGCACAGTGCCGGGCTCTGAACTGATCACAGTTTTTAAGAGCCATATGTTAATCCAAATCCAAACACCAAATTCAAGTAAGCTTTATATATCTGAGTATGGAGAGAAAGCAGAGGCATGCCCTCTCTGTTTTTGGTTTCCTTTCCACTGGTAGCCTGCCCTATTCCAGGCTCTTGAAACTAATGGCTCAAAGGCTTGATGACTTTATCAGACTTCTTTGGGTAGTGGTGGCCCTACTTGTTTTTGTTAACTTTCGAAATCATATAATTGATTGTCTCCCTTTTTCACTCTGGCTGTTAGAAAGCCCAGAGCCCACTCTCTGGCCTACCTAAAAAATGGGCACATTTGAGAGCAACCCTCACTCTCTCTTCTATTTAAACCTATTGCATTTTTTTTTTAAGCCACCTGAACAATTTTTGGAACAAAAGGACATATCAGTAAAAATCACTTTCACAGTGAAGCAAATTTGAAGGGAATCACAGAGCTGGTTTTCAAAGAAAAGGAATACCAGACAGTGACTTCCCTCTCTACTATTTCATCACTTCACTCCTAAGACTCAGCACTCCGGGACTCACCCATATTTGTGTCTATTATTTGCAGATAAGTAAGACATTTTGAAGAAGACAGCATTTTCTCCTTCAGGTTACAAGACACTCAGTCACTGACTGACTTGGATGAAATGCCTAGCACACGTAAATAATTAATATTTGTCAGTAATCTGGTGCTCTGCAATTTAAGTGCTTTCATATTAATTATTTTAGTTAGCCTATCTGCCTGTACTAATTCTCACAATAATCCTGGCAAAACAGATACGAACAACCTTTCACTTTGTTTATTTGTTTTTTTTTTTTTTTGAGACAGAGCCTCAAGCTGTCCCCCTGGGTAGAGTGCCGTGGCATTACAGCTCACAGCAACCTCCAACTCCTGGGCTCAAGCGAGTCTCCTGCCTCCACCTCCCAAGTAGCTGGGACCACAGGCGCCTGCCACAACGCCCGGCTATTTTTTGGTTGCAGCCGTCATTGTTGTTTGGCGGGTCCGGGCTGGGGATTCGAACCCGCCACCTTAGGTGTATGTGGCTGGCGCCTTAGCCGGTTGAGCTATAGGCGCCGAGCCATTTTTATTTGTTTTTTACACAGAAGAAGCAGTTGATACTCAGAGAGGTTAAATTTTTTTTCTAAGATCATACAGACAGTAAGTGGTAAAACTTGAACATGAATCTTTGTTTCCATATTCTGTGCTTCCTTCATTACACTGTGCAATGGTCTCATCAACATACAAAAATCAGCAACTCCACAAGTTATTTTATCTGCTACAACTCCTACAACCAGTTTGGTCTCCTTAACATAAGGTCAGTGTACTTTACTTCTTGTTTGACATGGTAGAGACTCACCCATTTCTTTATTATGTGGCTCTTTGTGAACACAAAGAGGTGATCTCAAAGAACAGCTGCTCTACGGCTCTGATTCAGGGGAGGAGGTAAGAACTAAGATGAATGGGTTCTGGGATTCCCCAGAACCCCACACCTCTGCTCTTTTAGGAACCCATGCATTCACAGGCATTAGTTAGCTTATGGGAACAATCCTGGCTGTGAGGTCACCAGTACCCTCCATATGAACCCTTAGTCTCTCAGGGTATAACTGTTAGGCCATTGGCATGAAAGCTCATCAAAGCCCCCAGCTTGACATTATTCTGTTAGTTGTCCTGTTGAAAGAAGTCATGGTCCTCTATAGCACAGCCTCCCACTGATATAAGCAGTAGTGACCTAAGGGTGCCTGAGACCCACCAGCACACAGAGGACCCCTCAGAAGGAAGCAAAGGAAGCTCCGGAGGCACGTACCGGGACTGGGTCTGCTTAGTGATGTTCTTTATGGTCAAGCCCTCCTTTCCGATGATGGCACCAACAAACTGGGTGGGGACCAGGATCCGCAGCGGGAAATCAATCTGTCTGGCCTGAGAAGAGCCCCCATGGCCTTGCTCCCGGGAAGAATGGTCCCCACGCTGGGCTCGCTGAGGGGGCGAAGGGGAGCTCACCTCTTCATCCGGGATGTAGGAAATCTTGAAGGAGTAGTTCTCAAACTGATGTCCGCTTAGCTTCTCCACGGCTCTGAAATGCAGCAGGGATGGCAGTTTTATCAAAGAGCAACATCAAGAGAGACCTTTCTGTGGGCCAGTTCATTCAGCTCTCACTTACTGGGGGCCTATGTGGCTGCTGTGCCAGGCACTGAATATATAGCAGTGAGCAGGACAGATGCCATTTTTGTTCCCTCAGAGCTTATAGTTAACAATTAAATAAGTAATCACAGTGCACAGACCTGGTAAGACTTGAAATACAATTTTATATTCTACTTTTTTTTATCACCCAGAACTATAACCTCCTCATCAAAAACTCTTCATAAAAACACAGGTATAAAATTATGACATTTTCCCTAATTTTAATCATAATACATATTATTGAAAATTCAGAAATAAGCACAAATTGTAAAAGTCCTAACCCATTCTTTCCTTCTTAAATCTAACTGTTTAAAAAAATGGATTTTATGGCTCGGCTCCTATAGCTTAACTGGCTAAGGCGCCAGCCACATACACCTAAGGTGGCGGGTTCAAATCCCCAGCCCGGACCCGCCAAACAACAATGACGGCTGCAACCAAAAAATAGCCAGG